CCCCGTTGGGAGTTACTCGGGGATGAGATGTCCTGCTCCAGAGGCGATTTTGACAAGAGCAAGCCGGGGTCGCCCCCCCCACCCGAGTGGTTCCCCAGAGGGACCCTCTCTACTACCGTCACCATGATTCCTTCTGTTAGATCGGGGGTAATAGAGCTAACGCGCTTCGTGGAGACTATTAGGTTATTTACTGTAGCTGCCTACATGGTGTCTGATGTGGCAAATGGGGATAAAATGCTTCACTGCTGTTTAGTTTATGGAAATAAAGTTCAGAGGGAGTCAGATTTTTATGTTGACCGCTAATTTACGCAAAATACGCTATTTTCTCTGTTGTCATGATTATCACTGGCTTCGTCCACCAGAGAAAGTATTCTAAGTGCGTCATTCGGCATAATAGATTTCTATAGCAGGAGCTTCAGTTCACAATCAGTCCACTGGGCGAATGAGCGCAGGAGAAAGACAGATCGGTACACACCAGCTGGCCCTTTCCATCACGCCATCACTACAGGCAGCAGCCTGACGTTGCTGGAAGGCGGCGATAGGAAACTCCCACAGAGACCCAGTCCGTCCAGTCCGAGTGGTCAATTTGTGTTCGACCCCTGCAGGAGATTCGGGACCATGAGCGACCTCGGTGACCTCGAGGCCTCCTTAGAATCCAACCTGACCAACGGGAGCGCTGCGGCCGACTGCGGCCGTGTCGACGAGCCGGCCCGCATCTTCTTCCTGCTGGTCTACACGCTGGTGTTCCTGGTGGGCCTGCTCCTCAACGGCTTCACACTGAAGGTCTACTACTGCCGAGCTGGGCGGCAGCCGCGGGGCTCGGACGTCGTGACGGTCTACCTGAAGAACCTGGCGGCAGCCGACTTCCTGGTCAGCCTTTGCCTGCCCGCCCGGATTGCCAACTACGCCACCGGCTTCGTCGCCGTCCGCCGCGTCTACTGCACCTTTGGGGCCTCGGCCTTCTACCTGAACATGTATGCCAGCATCCTGTTCATGGGCTACATCGCGGCCAACAGGTAGGAGGTCGTCTCAGCGCAAGTCTTTGTTGGTGAAGGTGTACCGGTCAGATTGACACCTCACATGTGCATGTTACACTAAATGTGTGTTGTTAGCTTAGCATAGAGAGAAGACGCAATCTAGGCTGTGTCCCGCATTCTGTTCTGTTACAATAAATTCAGGTAGGAGGCAACAAAACACACTGAGATATTAGAAATAATATTTTATTTGATAAATAAGGGAATATAACAGTAATCCTCTGTATCGCTTTCTCTTGGATCATATATCTGTGCTGAGTGGTCATGCGCGGAGGACAGATTCTCTCTCTCATTGTTATTGTTGTGTATTGACGATGTTGCGTAACGTCTTTATTCGGCTATCAAACGTGTAAAGTGAACGCGCGCTACCACGACCACGAAGACAGCGTGTTCGCTGAGCTCCAAAAAGCATTTGTACTGTTCCAACAATAGAACCAAATGTAGTCAATATGCCACAGTAATTATTTTATAAACATAAGCGACATTTCTGCTCATGTTCAGAACTTTCTGCAAACTCAAAACACGTCTCCAATTCGTCGTCCTACATTCAGAAAACAAAGTAATGTTACCGGAACAAAAGTATAATTTGCATGTAAGAGAGCCGTGAGTTCCCTTTCCTTTCATTATCTACAGCATCAATAGTTTGGCTTCATGGATTTGTTTAAACTTTTCAGCATTTGAATTAGCATCTAAGAACTCTGCGAAAACATAATGTCACCATGTTAGAAACGGCTTCAACAACACACACACACACACACACACACACACACACACACACACACACACACACACACACACACACACACACACACGTTCTATATAGTTAAAGCTTTGTTTTAATACATTACATTAATAAACAAACATTAACCGCAGTATAAAAACATGTAACCAATGTTTAAATACTGATTATGAATGCAGAAGCTGAACATTGACTTTGGATGATTCTCCAAACATTGAATTTTTGCAATAACAATGTTTTTAACATTTTTTAAACAATGTAACAAGAAAGTATATCATGGTTTTATGAAACTAATAAATCATATTAAGGCTAAACATGTGAGTCTCAAAGAACAAAACCAAAGTTTCTATTTTCCTCTTTTTAAACAAAACGTGTTTCTGTGTGTGTGTGTGTGTGTGTGTGTGTGTGTGTGTGTGTGTGTGTGTGTGTAGTCAAGCAGATTAAGTTAATATTCCATGAGAAGGGTTCACTTGGTGATAAAATTACCAATTTGGAGTAAATAAGTACTTCTCTTTTAGAGAACCGCTGTATCGACCCAAATTTCAAGATACCACCATTATTCAAAATGGCCGTCGCAGAAAAAGGTTTTTTCAGTGTAGACCTTGAATGGCTTGACATGTTTTGTCGATTTAGATATCAAAATGTACATATTTTCATGCAAGAAATGCAATGGTGCCAACAAAAAAATTAACATGGCTGCTAATTGTCAAGATAATGGCCATTTGTTACTCATCATTCACCCATTTTTCTTTGATCAGAGATAAAGTTTCTGATGAATGAAGTATTATTCAAAGTTCCAAGTCATCAAATTGAAATGTTTTAATGATCAATATTAGGTCAAATTCTCCTTAAATGTTACAAACTCACGTGTTATATATATACCCCCCCCCCCCTCTGTTTCCGCCCCCCTATGCTCGAGAAGTTTGCCCCGTGTAATAACGTGCAGTAGCGGAACCTAACGGACAACAGCGCTATACGATACCGTGAGCGCAAAAACTAAACGATATATAAAAAAACAACCAGCCTCTCATCTGTCAGAAAGAGGGAACCGTCCCAACTAAGTCATTCAACACACTCCTGGTCATTGCCTTATTCAATGACTCACACTGATTGGTGTCGGCCAGGTTGCTTTTGAATGAAATGAAATTGTTAGCAAGAGTCGATCACAAAATTAGCACCACCAAGTTCTCTCCTGCGGTCGATCGCGCATCCGCGGTGACCTGACATTCCTGCATACAGGCAGAAACTAAAGCTCTGCGGGAATTCAAGAAGTGGACCAGTGAGGCGCTGGAGGATCTTGGGTCCTGCTTTGACTGCACAGACTGGGATGTTTTCAGCTACTGACAGTCTGGATGAGCTCACAGAGGCTGTGACTTCCTACATCGGCTTCTGTGAGGACAGCTGTGTACCATCATGCACCAGGGTGAGTCACAACAACGACAAACCTGGTTCACAGCGGAACTCAGAACACTACGCCTGCAGAAGGATCAGGCATTTAGGACCGGGGACAAAGACTTGTACACAGAGGCAAAATACAAGTTTAGCAAGGCGGTGAGAGACGCTAAACGACTGTACTCTGAGAAACTCCAACAACAGTTCTCAGCAAGTGACTCTGCTTCAGTTTGGAGAGGCCTCAAACACCTCACTAACTATTGGGGTCGTCGTCGTGGCGCAGGGGGTAGAGAGAGTGTGCTGGGAAGCACAAGGTTGGTGGTTTGAGTCCTGACTGCCTCATGTTCCATGTTGAAAGTGTCCCTGAGCAAGACACCTAACCTCTAATTGCTCCCTGGGCAAAATGTAAAAAGCCAGGGGTTAAAAATGTAATGTAAGTCGCTTTGGGTAAAAGCGTCAGCTAAATGACCTGTAATGGAATAACTACAAGCCTAACCCCCCACTCCATAAATGACCTCCACCTGGCAGACGAGCTGAACGAGGTCTACTGCAGATTCGAACGATAATGTCCTGATCCCATCCCCCACAGCTCCACCAACCTGCCCCAGTCCCCCTCCCTCCCCCAGCCCATCAGGTGCTCACGCCTCTTCATCTATATCACCTTCCCCTCCCCCACCAGCAACGACCCTCTCTATTCTGGAGAGAGACGTTAACCGGCTCTTTAGAAGACAAAATCCCCGTAAGGCAGCCGGTCCGGACTCCGTCTCCCCTCACACCCTGAAGCATTGTGCTGACCAACTGTCTCCGGTGTTCACTGACATCTTCAACACCTCCCTGGAGACCTGCCACGTACCAGCCTGCTTCAAGGCCTCCACCATCATCCCTGTTCCCAAGAAGCCCAGGATCACAGGACTCAATGACTACAGGCCCGTCGCCCTGACCTCTGTAGTCATGAAGTCTTTTGAACGGCTAGTCCTGACCCACCTGAAGTCCCTCACCGACCCCCTCCTGGACCCCCTGCAGTTCGCCTACAGAGCCAACAGGTCTGTGGACGATGCTGTCAACATGGTCCTCCACTACATCCTCCAGCATCTGGACTCCCCAGGAACCTACGCCAGGATCCTGTTTGTGGACTTCAGCTCTGCCTTCAACACCATCATCCCGTCTCTGCTGCAGGACAAACTCTCCCAGCTGCACGTGCCCGACTCCACCTGCAAGTGGATCAGACTTCCTGTCTGACAGGAAGCAGCACGTGAAGCTGGGGAAACATGTCTCAGCCTCCAGGACCATCAGCACCGGTTCCCCCCAAGGCTGCGTTCTTTCCCCTCTGCTCTTCTCCCTGTACACCAACAGCTGCACCTCCAGCCACCCGTCCGTCAAGCTCCTGAAGTTTGCGGATGACACCACCCTCATTGCACTGATCTCTGGTGGGGACGAGTCCGCCTACAGGTGGAGTCTGACCATCTGGTGTCGTGGTGCAGCCAGAACAACCTGGAGCTTAACGCTCTAAAGACAGTGGAGATGGTTGTGGATTTCCGGAGGAACAGAGCCCAACCCTCCCCCATCACCCTGTGTGACTCCCCCGTCACTATTGTGGATTCCTTCCGTTTCCTGGGCTCCATCATCACCCAGGACCTCAAGTGGGAGCTGAGCATCAGCTCCATCACCAAGAAGGCTCAGCAGAGGTTGTTCTTCCTGTTCTTCCGGTCCACTTCTACACGGCCATCATGGAGTCCATCCTCTGCTCCTCCATCAGCGTCTGGTACGCTGCAGCCACAGCCAAGGACAAGGGCAGGCTGCAGCGTGTCCTCCGCTCTGCTTCCAGGTCTCTGAAGCAGCTAAAAAGATGGTAGCCGACCCCTCTCACCCCGGACAAAACCTGTTTGTGCCCCTTCCATCTGGCAGGAGGCTGAGGTCCATCAGGACTACGACCTCCCGCCACACCAACAGTTTCTTCCCGTCGGCAGTCGGGCTCATCAGCAGAGCCGGTCCCCCACTGACTGACTATAACACTCCACCGGTCACTCCCCCTCATACTGCACATGTCACTTTAACTGTCATTTCTCACTCGTCACTTTGTTGTCACTCGTCACTTGTACAATTTTTTAACTTTTTAAATATGTTTAATTTTTAACTTTAACTTAGCATTTCATTTTATTTTATTACTTGTGCACTGCTGTCTTGTTGTCTATTGTTACAATGTCTACTCTCACGCACTAACCGCCAAGACAAATTCCTTATATGTTTGACATATTTTGGCAATAAATGTTTCCTGATTCCTGATTCCTGACGTGATTTTTTTTCCGATGGCAGGTGATCTAAGGATACTGCCTTGGTCATCGCCCTGTTCCCCCTGGTCTAACGCATGCGCTCACTCACAAAGTGCGACCCCAAGTGGACCGATTAGGAATAGCAGCTACTTTTATAGTAGTATGTTTGATACCCCTGGTCTAGATCAGTGGTCCCCAACCACTACCGCTACCGGTCCGTGGGCCATCTGGTACCGGGTCGCACCACAGAAAGAATATATATTTTTTTTTCTGAAAAATGTTTTATTTTGAAAATTTACCGGCTTTTCTACAAATTATATGCGCTCGTCCCTCTGACAGATTCCCCATTCCCCAGCAAATAGATAGCACGCGACTACTTCCCCACCCGTTATTCCGCCGGACCTTCTCGACCGGTCCGCGCAATATTGTCTGACATGGAAATGGTCAGTGAGGTAAAACATGTTGGGGACCACTGGTCTAGATGGTTTAAGTCCTTGACCCATGAAGAGCATATATATATATGCAAATATGTACACATATTCATGGGAATGTATGTATATTCATATATATACATATACAAATATCTGGTCTCTGCAGGTACCTGAAGATTGTCCATCCATTAGGAACTCACTTCCTGCAGACGGTGCGCGCTGCCCACGCTATCACCGTGGCAACCTGGCTCCTCCTCCTGGCCCCAGTGGGGGTCTACGTCGTCATGTCGCTGCTCACCGAGGAGCCACCGGCCTCCCTCCCGGCCTTTCCGAGCTGCAATCTGCTGCACAGCGCGGTGCTCCACCGGCTCTACCAGGTGGTCCACAGCGCCTCTGCTGCCCTTTTCCTGCTGGTCCTCGTCTCGCTGGTCTTCTTCTACCGCGGCGTCTCCCACAGACTGGCGGCGGCGCAGCGGAGACAGCCGGCCTCTTCTGGCTCCAGGAAGCTGGCCAAGTCCCGCAGGAACATGTTGGTGCTGGTCAGTGTCTTCTGCGCCTGCTTCGTGCCGTACCACCTGGTGCGCATTCCCTACGCCTTCCTGGGGGGGTGGCGCCGTTGTAGCCAGGCCTTCTTCTACCTGAAGGAGCTGACCGTCATGGTGTCCATCCTCAGTGTCTGCCTGGACCCCCTCATCTACTTCCTCTTCTGCAAAGCCTTCCGGGCTCAGTTCAGCCCGGGGAGGCGGCCCAGCTCCACGCAGGGAACCAACGGCGAGAGAAGGAGCAGTGACCCCCGGGTCAAAGGGGGGGGGCGGTTCTCGCTCGCCACCTCCACGAAGCTCATCGGCGCGCTTTAAGGTGCACGAACTCAAAGAATTTCTGTGCCGAGAAGACTTCAAAAAGTGCTTCAAAAAGAAGCAAAAAGGAAATGTGTTTAATGCTGCTGTTTGCTAAACTGTTGATGACATGTCTCACAAGCCTTTGAAGCCTCGAGTTCTGGTGGCTAAAATACCAAATGAAATAAGCACCAAGGAGGTTGTAGAGTAATTTTCTCATAGACTTCTATAGGACCAGAGGAGTCGCGCCCTGGTGGTCACTACATAGAATGCACCTTTAACTATTAGAGAACCAGACGTTGCCTCTTGTTTACGGATTGTTGCGATTCAGATTTTCAGATTTTCAGATTTTTATTGCAATATTCAGAGAAGAGTTAAAGTTCCCACCATGCGGCCGGGCTCTTCATACCATTGAGCACCTCGCTGTAGCTCTGCTATCTGGTTTCTGCATCTTGCTGCTGATTGCGGTCTGCTCACAGAAACAGCTCCATATTTATATCAGAAACAGGAAGTCACCTGTTTAGTAGCCTGAAACAGGAAGGTGTTAGTTAACAAATGATTCTTTTATCAGGTTCTTATCTCCATCCAGGTCTACTGCTGCAGGTCTGAAACAAACATGTAACAAACATGTAAATAAACATGCTAACAAACATGTAAATAAACATGTAAACACACATAAACAAACATAAAGAGAAGCCACGAGCTGAGCGATCACAAATAGTGCACACACACAGACACACACACATACATTCCTACGTGTAATTTATAGAAATGTATTTATAATTTGCATGATTTTGCATAAATAATATTACATTTACAGGCAAGGACAATGTGTGAATCTAAAGTTGTTGATGGCTGTGATGCTTTAAAGTTCTTTAGATATTTAATTTGAGGGAGAAACTGGGGTAATAAATGCTAATTATATGATCCGAATTATGATTTATTTCAGTCACAGAAAATGTTATGATATAAATGGACTGTACTTATATGAGAGTGTTGTTCTTTGTTTCGACCAGCAGGTGGCAGCAGATACGAGCTAATATATGTTACTCTTTTTTTAATCAATTTGAAAGAAACCAAATAGTCACGATGATGATTTGAAGACATATTCATTATCACATCAAACGTATTGATTTAAAAAGAAAAACAATTTGTAAAATCTCAAAGTTATTATTAAAAAAGTAAACTCTAACAGAAGAAGGATGATACATATTTACATAAATAATGTATGAATAAATCTATAACATTTGAGTCTTTCAGTGTCTTTTTCTAGTCTTTTAGGGTCTCCTTATAGTCTTTCATTGTCTCTTTGTTCTCGTTTGGTGTCTCCTTGTAGTCTTTTGATGTCCCTTTATAGTCTTTCTTTGTCTCTCTGTAATCTTTCATTGTTTCTTTTTAGTCTTTTAGTGTCTCCTTATGAAAAGTGTTAGTTATGTCTCATGGTGCTACCGTGCAAATTACAGTCTGACTGTAATAAATAAACTCAGCTCTTATATTTAGATATTTCTTTTGCATTTTGTTTTGACGTAGTGAAGGAAAGTAACTGAATCTGATTGTGTGTACTAAGAAAATAAACACAAACTACAGAAAATAGACAGAGAAATGTGATATACAACTCACACAATGACACAAACATAGGTATTTAAACAGGGATCATCAATGTATTAAAACATGCCTCTGCACGTAGCTGAAAATGGAACAAGCACCTAAGAGTTGTACTCACATAGTACTTTAATGTACTTTACTAGCTGCCACCAAGAACACAATCAGGATGTGTACTTGATCAGGATGCACAGTGATGGACAGATGAAGGTGTTTCTGACCCAGTTTGCCTCGTTCCCATTCTCTGGCGGTCTCCCCGGACACATCCAGCAGGAAACATCTGGACGGTGTGTGCGTGTGTGTGTGAAAGTGTGTGTGTGTGTGTTTTATTGCAACACATGTAAAACACAAAACTCTAAAATTAGACCCTGAAGACTCTGATATTAGCTCACTTCCCAGATATGGAACGAAACACACACACACACACAGACTCACAAAGACAAACACACACACACACACACACACACACACACACACACACACACAGGGAGGGTCTTGAGTCAGAGATACCAGCCATTCCCGGTACTAACATCTTCTTAGCACATGAAGAGAGTCATGTAGTACTTCAACATGTACTTCAACAAAAGGTAGTAGAACTATAAAACCTGGACTTTGAGCTTGTTTTGTCTCTTTGGTTTTCTGAGCTTTGTAATAAACAGGTTTTCTGTAGTTACTGGTGACTCTTGGTCACTGAGAGGACAGAAAGAAGAAACGCGTTCTGTTTTTCCTCCTGTGGGGATCAAACAAACCAAATAACACGTGTACATGAGACATGAGATACATTCATAGATACATCACTGCCATTCAGATCTGTTGGCAGGTTCAGAGACAAGCTAGCTGCTTCCCTGCGTTCCCAGTCTCTATGCTAAGCTAAGCTAAGCTAACCTGACGCTACGCACACTTGTCTCTAAACATTTCCTCTCTTTTACTTCTGTCCTTTTTAAGTCTGGTCACCGAAAAGCCACCAGACGAGCCTTTTATAGAGAAGAGAGGAAGAGACGGAGGTCAGACGGTACCGTGAGAACGGCCCCAAGAACCACACACACACACACACACACACACACACACACACACACACACACACACACATAAACACAATGACACTTAAACAAACCACTACATATACACACAGTAAGAAAGGTTGAAATACATGAAGACACAGAGAGACAGAGGCAGGTTCACAGTGTCTCAGATGCTGTTTTTAGAAACATTGAAGTTCTGAGATGGAAAATACTTCTGATGATTCAGTGTCGGCGTTGTTTGACTTCTCTGAACGAGCTCAGAGAAACAGCAGCTTCTGGCCTGATTCATCCGGTGTGGTTTGTTTCTAACTTCTTGAGGTGAGGTGAGTCAGTCAGGTGGAACAGTAAACTTAAAAGATTGTTTTATCAATTTATCTATGTATTCAATTTAGCATTTTACATTTTTTAATTATTCAAATATTTTATTTTAAAATTATTTGTTAAATGTTTAACAAAATTTAATTAAATTAAGTTAAGTTAAGTTTAATTAAATTTGTGTAATTTTATCAAAAGTCAATTTCCTTCTTTAGTTATTCATCAATTCTTAGACAAAGGTGAAAACACAAATAGAACAACAAGAAGATACGCAATCTTTAACAGTATGGAAGGTGCTCAGAGGTTGTGGGTTTGAATCCCATCACCGTACAGTCATTGTTGAGTGAGCACTTTGTGAGCACATCAACAGCTCACGGCAACAGCCAACCCTGTCATTACGGCTCAACCTGCCTGTTACCACGGTAACCAGGTAGCGTTACAGCTGTAATCACAGCGTCTCATGAGGACACAGTGTACCTTGAAGGGGGCGGTGCTAGTCAAAGAGCCAATTAGAGGCTTGTAGTTGTCTCAGCGTTCTTCTTCAACAGTCCTTTATTAGGGGTTCTACTAAAGGGTCACTCAATGCATTCATCAGGTCCATGTTGCAATGCATTGTGGGTGAAACCTGTTAGGGAGTCTGCAGAAAGTCTGATCACATTTTTTTTGGCGGATGAATAGACAAGAGGAAAGGAGGAAATAAAAGCAAAACCATTATCTGAAATCTTGTATAAATAACGAGAATTTAAAAAGTTCTTCGCTCTCTTTGGCTTTTCCTTTGGCCCCTATTTGTGCGTCCAATCGCTTTAGCCACGTCGGAAGATCGAGTCCAGGTGTCTGACTCGCGACTTTGCCCCCGAACAGAAAACCAGAAGCAATTTCTGTTTGCTTGCTTGAAATTTATAGAAAAAATAAGAAACATGAAATGAAGACGTTATATTTGGTTTGGATGCCCAATGATGCCAAATCACCATCGAGGGTAGTTACAGGGCTGAGGCCGACGTCAAAAGACGGTATCTGTCGTAACCCGTTTTCTTCCACCAACTATGCGCCATTCGCACCAACTTATAGGAGCTTATAGGAGCGCCCGCCTCTCCTGCAGGGGGCAGACTTTGCTTTTACAGTAACACAAATAAAAAAGAACAAAAAAATAAGTTATTTTAATACATGACAAACTTAAATGCGGCTCCTACAGTTTTCATTTATGTAATGCAAACAATTCATTAACTTTTTTAAATTAAAAATATTTGATTCTGTCTCAACACAAATCAACATTTTAACTGCTTAAAGGGAGCAGTTTGCCCTTCTATTCACTCTGTGCGCGTGTCTTTATCTTATTGAACGACTATTGGTTCCAGATGATTGGCTCTACTTCAGAGGTCAGACGGTGGGAATATTAATGTATGTGTGTTTCTTCCCATATTTCCCCATGGAAGGGTTTTTAATTTTTTGGGGAATTTTTCCTGTGCCGATGTGAAGGTTTCAGAACAGAAAAAAATAATACATTTATAAAGTATTCTTTAACCTTTTGTCAGGAAATAGTGGATGTAAAAGTAAACTCAACCCAAAACCTTTGAATAGCTTAAATGATTGATCCTCTATAAATCCAATAACCTGTTAAGAGTCTCTTATACAGTACAATACATTTCATCATTATACATTGCAAAAGCTCTTCAAAAACAGAATGCATAAAAATGAGCAGTAAAAATTACAACACATGATAATATGGCATGAAAGTGAACACCATGCTGGATTTAAAACCTTTGAATTTGCTTTCATGATGATCAACTAGAAGTCCAACGCGCTGTCCATTGCGCCACAGAGTCGCGCATGATTTGCAAAGAATTCTCAAAAAAAGAAGATATCAAGTGAATCAAATAGTCCAAAGCATGAGAATACAGCGTAAAGATGAACACCATGCTGGATTTAAAACTCGACTACGACAGAAGTAAAACTTTAAAACTCAAAATGTAACGGACGGTAAATGCATTATTATGGGATGGGATAAAATGCTTTTATTTAAGCAGTAATTCCCCAGAGAGATTTCTGGCTTTTGTCACTGAATCTAAAGTTCAACTCTGGTGGGACTCGAACCCACAACCTTTGAATTACTTTCATGATGATATACTAGAAGTCCAACGCGCTGTCCATTGCGCCACAGAGTCGCTCATGATTTGCAAAGAATTCTCAAAAAAAGAAGATATCAAGTGAATCAAATAGTCCAAAGCATGAGAATACAACGTAAAGATGAACACCATGCTGGATTTAAAACTCGACTACGACAGAAGTAAAACTTTAAAACTCAAAATGTAACGGACGGTAAATGCATTATTATGGGATGGGATAAAATGCTTTTATTTAAGCGGTAATTCCCCAGAGAGATTTCTGGCTTTTGTCACTGAATCTAAAGTTCAACTCTGGTGGGACTCGAAGCCACAACCTTTGAATTGCTTTCATGATGATCAACTAGAAGTCCAACGCGCTGTCCATTGCGCCACAGAGTCGCTCATGACTTTCAAAGAATCCTCAAAAACAGAAGATATCAAGTGAATTAAATAGTCCAAAGCATGAGAATACAGCGTAAAGATGAACACCATGCTGGATTTAAAACTCGACCACGACAGAAGTAAAACTTTAAAACTAAAAATGTAACGGACGGTAAATGCATTATTATGGGATGGGATAAAAGACGTTTATTTAAGCAGTAAATCCCCAGAGAGATTTCTGGCTTTTGTCACTGAATCTAAAGTTCAACTCTGGTGGGACTCGAACCCACAACCTTTGAATTGCTTTCATGATGATCAACTAGAAGTCCAACGCGCTCTCCATTGCGCCACAGAGTCGCTCATGACTTTCAAAGAATCCTCAAAAACAGAAGATATCAAGTGAATTAAATAGTCCAAAGCATGATAATACAGCGTAAAGGATGAACACCATGCTGGATTTTAAAACTCGACTACGACAGAAGTAAAACTTTAAAACTCAAAATGTAACGGACGGTAAATGCATTATAATGGGATGGAAAGAAATGCTTTCTTTTTAAGCAGTAATTGCCCAGAGATATTTCTGGCTTTTGTCACTGAATCTAAAGCTCAACTCTGGTGGGACTCGAACCCACAACCTTTGAATTGCTTTCATGATGATATACTAGAAGTCCAACGCGCTGTCCATTGCGCCACAGAGTCGCTCATGACTTTCAAAGAATCCTCAAAAACAGAAGATATCAAGTGAATTAAATAGTCCAAAGCATGAGAATACAGCGTAAAGATGAACACCATGCTGGATTTAAAACTCGACCACGACAGAAGTAAAACTTTAAAACTAAAAATGTAACGGACGGTAAATGCATTATTATGGGATGGGATAAAAGACGTTTATTTAAGCAGTAAATCCCCAGAGAGATTTCTGGCTTTTGTCACTGAATCTAAAGTTCAACTCTGGTGGGACTCGAACCCACAACCTTTGAATTGCTTTCATGATGATCAACTAGAAGTCCAACGCGCTCTCCATTGCGCCACAGAGTCGCTCATGACTTTCAAAGAATCCTCAAAAACAGA